CCTCCGGCCCCGCCTGCCGCGCACAACGCCAGGAGCCGCGAGGGGCCGAGCCGGCGGCAACGGGGCGCCCCCTGGAGGCTGCGGGCGGCCCAGCCGGACCCTGAGCCAACCTTCGAACCACAAGCCCAGACCCTGACCGTGACCTTGAGCCCAGACCTGAACACCACAAGGAACTGGGACTGAATAGGACTGTAGTCTCAGACCTTGTCCACAACCTCAGATCCCAGTTCCAGACCTAGCTGTACAATGAACCACAGCTCTGACCACCAAGTTTGGCTTATGATCCTGACCAAGACCCCAGTCTCAGATTTCCAAACATGATTTCAGGGACATCAGTCTCAAATCCTGACTATAAAGTAGCACCAGACTCACTGACCCCAAACCGGGGCAATAATTCTGACCTCAGACACCAAACAAGAACCCCAGACTCTAGACCACAACCCTGGACACTGACCACAACCTGAGATGATTACCTGGATCCCCAACCCCACATCCAGACTGTGACAAGATGCTCAGTAGGACCCCCAGGACCAGACTTTGGACCATGACATCAATCTAGTTATAGACCCCAATCTTGATTCCAACCCCAGACCTGGGCTGCTACCATGACCTCAAATTCTAGACCATCAAGTCTGAACCCGGGTCCAAGAGCCATTACCCAGGACTCTGGAAACAAGGTCTCTAGGACCAAGACAAAGTAACCCAGGACCCAGACTAGGCGCAGAATTCTTCACAAGTCACCAGGACCAAGACCAAGGATTGACAAGCACAGGCCAGACTCCAGACTTCCCTGCTCAGAATCAAAGACCCTGTACCACCCCCATGCACTCTGTTCAGGTCCAACACTCTTCCCTGAACCCTATTCCATGCAAAAATTGCTGTGCATTCAAGATCATTTCATAAAGTGTCATCAGTAAGGGCACAGGCGTTTCAGTACTGCCTGGCAAAAGAGGCCCATCCTGCTAGGAACCTACCCTGAAAGAGCTGGGGAGTCATGTGTCTCAAAATAGCCCCTCTTCAGAGCCCCTCTCACGTTCTAAGGTGCTTGGACCCACTCTCAGCCCTGGGCATGTGGAGCTCAATCTTCACTTCAGTTCAACCAGGACCCTCTTGTAAAGCAGGACACCCCCGTCTTCCCCATGGACTTCTCAGGGAAGAGTGGAGGTCACAGGCAGCCTTCTCAGATTAGCTCCAGCAAAGCCTAGAACCAGAGCAACTCAGAGAGAGCCTGGTCCCCTTCTAGTTAGTGGGTGGTACCTCCATATCCCCAGATACCCAGGCATCATCCCTGACTCCCACCACCGTCTTTTTCTAATCACCACACCCTCCTATCTGTCCCTGAGAATCTTGCTGAATCTATTCACATCTCTGGGATCTACAGCCCCTGACCAGAGATATCTCTTCCACATCTAGGTGTATCTAGATCTGACCAGGGCACTACTAATTTAGCACCTAGAAATGGCTCTCCAGGCTTCTGGGGCTGCTAACAGTGGGGAACCCCAAAGGAGTCTCCAGACCCCCACCTTACTTGGCCCAAAGCAGACCAGGTTAACAAGCTCTTGAACCTACAAGTCAAGGTCTTGGGTGACTGGGCCTTGCTCTGTTTTCCACCACCCTCTGCACCTGGCCTCCTTTCACCAGCCTACCCCCCACTGTTTGCCTTTGTGCCCTTCTTCCTTGACTAACTCCTGCTCATCCTTTAAGACCCACCTCCTCCAGCGAGCCTTCCCTGACCCCATGACCTGAATATCTAACATCTCTGACTCTGCATTTACTATCTATTGTTCTTACTGCCTGATTTACCACCCATGAGACCTTAGTTTCTTGATTTGAAAACATCAATGCCAAGAAGTACATGTTTTTGATAGTGAGGGTGGGCTTTATTAACTGTTTGCATCAATTGGAAAATACATCCTGATGTTGGAAATGAAATATGTCCCATGGTAACTGAGGCACCAGGTTTATCTCCTTTGCCCAGTGCCCAGCATTAATTTATTCATCATAAATTTATAGCTATATTGAGAGACAGCAGAACATCCAGCCATAGATGATGCATCAATGATCTCCCTTCCCAAGGTGACACATGGAACTGGGGTAAGAATAGGGTCAGGAAACCTGAAGAAGCTGTATGTAACAAGAGTTCTAAACCTTTCCCTTTCCCCACCCACAGTTCTCCACTGTGGCCTGGGATCTGCAGCAGCCTCTGTTTAATTCTTCCCAAATAACTTGTCAGACTTATGGCTACGTGTGGCTTCCGGGAGGGAGGTGGGGTGACCTTACCTTCCCCCACCACCTGAGAACCCATACTAATCTTTCCTGCCCACCTGCAGCCCAACCCACATCCTGGACCAGGCCGGAAGTCAGGGCCCCTCGAAGGAGCCTTTCTCCTGGGCACCCCTAAGTGAGTATTAGGGCTTGGGGAAGGTGGCTTCTGCAAACTGGGGTTAGGCCATTTCCTGGCCCGGGAGACTGTTGTTGTTGTTGTTGTTTTTTAGGATGGTACTGCCCTCTGGTGGTTGTGGGAAGGTTGGTTGCTAAGCTTGCCTTATCACGTAGGCTTTGGTCTCTCAACAAACCTTGTGGGCACCCAGACAGTGCCAGGTTCTGACTACGATGGTGAGAGTGCAGAGCCGAGCCGAGTGGAACTCCATCCCCACCCAGCAGGCAGCTGGGAGACACATGATTACTTGGCATCTGCACAGATGACTAATATGCGCTGCAAACTTAATGCATCCCACACTGGGCTCTGGCTCCTGCCACCCAGTTCTTGTCCAGCCTGCTCCTCCCACCTCCCCATCACGGCTCCTCCATCTCCCAGAAACTTTAGCGTCGTCCAGATTCCCTTCTTCCTTCACCTCTTGCCTCGTCCCACGTGCACACTCACTGTCATCTAGCCTGTCCTGCCAGTTACCCCGGGTACCTGTCTGCCAAATACACCCCAGATCCTTCCATTGTGCCTGTGAAACTGGATCTAGTACCCATCACCTCCCTTTTGGATCCCTGCAGGTTGCCTCTCCTCTCACCCCCGCCATCCATCCCCATCCAGCAGTCAGTCAGCCAGTGTGTTTACAGACCAGTAGCACCTGTCTCTAGTGAGTGCCCCTACTCTTAGGGCGAAACCCACCCTCTTTCCTGCTCTACCCCACACTTCTTGAACTCCTTCCCTTTTTGTCTAGTTCTTTGTTCTCCCACTAGGACAAGGCAAGTTAAAGTCTACATCTGGTGTCTTGCCTTTATGGCTTCCTGTTCCCAAATGTGCTTTTCTTCCCTTCGTATATATATGCATATGGTGCCTTCAATAAACCAGGCCAGCGCTGTTGTGTAAAGAGGTGGACCACTTGGGAGAAAGAAGTGGTCACCCAGAGGGTCAGGAAAGGAAGGTCTTGACTATAACAATGGCATGCATGAATGAGGTCCAGAGTTATGACTGGCATGTGCCCAAGCCCAGGAGAGCACATTCTCACTTAGCTGGATCCTCATGTCTGTCTCTCCATGTCTGTCCTGGACTTGGAAGATGTGTGAAGGTGAGCTTGGACATGTACCTTTCAGCCTGGTTTGTCATATTTAGAAGGAAGGCATCTACCCCCACCCCAGGGTGGGGTGTGCTTGTGACAGGTGGATAGGGCTGACTCGGGAGCCAGAGTCAAGGTTTTATTAACCCAATCACTGCGGGCATGGTATTTGATGTCCATTACTCAGCTTCTCTCTGTAAAATGGGGGTATGCAGCATGGATTGGGCAGAAAGGCCTACCTCACTCCCTCATGCATTAGACCATATTTGTTGAGCACCTACTATGTGCCAGACAATTGTGCTTTGTGTAGCAGCTCCAAAGTGGGCAAACTACACATCATAATAAAACCGTCTGACATTTACTGGGAGTCTGGGTGAGCTCACAGGGTGCTGGAAACACCCTATAAGGGCAGTGACAAGTTACTAGGAGTAGGCAAGAAGGCCCCTCCTCCCACAGGGAAGCCTCCACACCACAGAGGGAGTTTTTAATTTTTTCTTCGCCCCCAGAACCAGAAGGACAGGAAGGAAGAGCCTGTAAGGGCATGCATGTGGAAGGGCGAGTGCGGAAGTCCTGAGGAGGGGAAGAGGGCTATGCTGCAAGGCTGCGAGGCTGTTCTCACTGTCCAAGCACTTTTGGCACGCTTCGGCCCTCAGGCAAGATCCTCAACAGATTTCAAAGGCCCTAGTGAGTTGTGGTGTTGGAGGAGAATACTGTAAGTGCCATGCGCTCCCAAAAGAACCAATAGATCTGTTTTGGAAGAAGTGTAGCCAGAGCGCTCCTTGGAGGCCAACATGGCCAAAATTCGTCTCTCATACTTCGGACATATTGTCAGGAGGGACCAATCGCTGAAGAAGGATATCATGTTTGGTAAGGTGGACGGTCACAGAAAAAGAGGAAGACCCCCAGCGAGATGAATTGGCCAAGTGGCAGCATCGATGAGCTCAAGAGTGGCAACAATTGTGAGGTTGGCCCAGGATCGGGCAGTGTTACTTTCTGCTGTGCATAAAGGTCGCTATGAGTCGGTACCAACTCGATGGAACCCAACAACAAGTTCCGCTCAAGCATAGATCCGGAGGTAGCGTCGCTCCCCGGAACTCTCCGGAAGGTTGCACAGCCCGCGCCCCGCCCAAGCCTCAACTGTCAGATGGCCCCGCCCTGTCCAGCTCAGGCCCCGCCCCGACGTCCGC